CATCAGCCACTCCTCGGAAGGAAGGTTGGGCAATCCTACTTCTGTAGTGATACTGCCTCAGAAACCCAAGGAGGGGTCGCTATGAGTCGGGTTTGACTTGACGGCACATAACAACAACAACAACAATCTTACAGAAGAGAGAGGTAGGACACGAATAGATACATGCACAGCCATGTTCATCGCAGCACAATTCACAGTAGCAAAGAGATAGAAACAACCTAAGTGCCCATCAGCTGAGGCATGAATAACTGAACTGTGGTATTTGCACACAATGGAATACTATGCAGCCCTAAAGAATAACGTAGAATCTGTAAAACACTGCATAACGTGGGTGCACTTGGAGGACATTATGCTGAGTACATAATTACAGAAGAACAAATATTGTATTAGTTCATTCCTGTAAGAAGTCAAGGAAATGCTTATACGTGGAAGGAAACTTTCTTTGTTGGTTACCAGGGGTGGGAGCGGAGGGGAGGGAAAATTCCTAGATAAGTTGGAGAAAAAAAAAAAAATGGAAATCAAAGATTATTAGTGGTTACCATGGGTAGGAGGGAGGGGGAAAGGGAAGCTTTTGTTTGAGTGGCATTGAATTTATGCTAATGGTGGTGGAATATTTTGGAAAAGGATAGTAACAATGGTGGCACAAACATGAAAAATGTCATCAATATCCCTGAGCTGTAAATGTGGAAGTTGTTATGTTGGCGAAGGTCTTGTGTGTGTTTTCACCACAGTAATAGTAAAGGAAAAAAAAAAAAAAGATCAGCTGTGCCCTCCACTCTGGGAACCCTGGGCTTAGGGTAAACACAGAGAGTGACTTCTGTGGCGAGCAACCCACATGGGCAAAGCTCTTTTCAGGCATGCTGGCTTTGGAGAAACTTCCAGTCTGAGGCAGTGAGTGCAGATAGACAAACAAAAGGGCCAGATTTCTCTAAGATCATAGCGCTGGGGAAGCTGAGCCGGTCAGCTGAGTGTGTGGGATAGATAATGCTACAGAGCCCAGAGATGATAGGTTTGACGGTCTTGTGTCCTGTCAGGATCCTGAGTGGGCAGGGAGCCAAGAATGGGGTTCGGGAAGGGTGTGTCTATGATGGAGAACCCTGGTAATCTGCCTCCTCTGCCCCATTCTCATCCCCCTCAGGCTTCCTGAAATCCCGGGAACGTTCCAGCCACAAGCTGTACTCTCAGCTGCTGCACACGCAGATGTTCTCTCAGTTCATTGAGGAATGTTCTTTTGGTTCTGCTCGGCATGCTGCCCTTGAATTCTTCGACTCTTGTGTTGACAAGGTACTGGGCATTGTTCCTCCTACATGTGCCTATTCGCCTTTGCCCTCTTCCTGGCTGTCTCTGTTGCCCTAGGGCCCCTGCCAGAGCTCAGTAGCGATGGGGTGCCGCCCTCAAGTTATCCAGTGCACAACCTGTGCAGCCATATGAGGCTGGCTTCACTTGGCTACATATAGCTGCATCCCATTTTCCCATTCCTGACTCCACCCTCCTAGCTTTGTCTTCAGGTGCCTGGTGGAGTCTGGGCCCCCTGGCTCCTTCCCTGTGAGTGTGCTCTCCTTAGGAGATGTCATTTTCTGGACACTCTGGCCCCTGCTCCATGCCCACTGTCTTAATGCTCACTCTCTTACCATCCTGCTCCAGGTCCACCCAGAGCAGGAGAAGCCTGAACCCACACCCTTGGTGGAGCTGGAGGAGCTGTCAGGAAGTGAGCTCACTGTCTTTATCACCCCACCTGAGGAGCCTCCAGTGCCAGAGGGCAGTGAATCCACCCCACTGTACTGGTGAGAGCCTCTTGTTTATCTCCTCTTGTCTGTGTTCCAAGGCCCGTAGCCTGGCCCAACCCAGTTTATTTGGCCCAGTGCTAACTGTGCCTGATGTTGCCCCTCTCTACCCCTCCAGCTATGATGGGTTCCCGGAGCTACGGGCTGAGCTGTTTGAGTCTCCTCAAGAGCAATCCAGGGCCCTGCCTGTGCCAGGCCTGTCCCGCAGTGCCCCTAGCAGTCCTGCTCCTCGCCGTACCAAACAGGTAACCAGCAGGTGGGCACCACCAGAAGTGGCTCAGGTTAAGGGCTGCCATTTCAGTATCTTTCTCTGTAAAATGGGGATAATAGTACCTACCCCATAAGGTTGTTAAACCACCAGTTGCCATCAAGTTGATTCTGACTTATACCAACCTCATGTGTGTCAGAGTCAAACTGTGCTCCATAAGCTTTTCCATGGCTGTTTTTTTATAAATAGAGCACCAGGCCTTTTTTCTGAGGTGCCTCTCAGTGACCTTGAACCACCCAACTTTTTGGTTAACGTTAACTGTTCCTATCACCGCAAGAGCTCATAAAGTTGTTAGCTCTGGTAGAATAGGACCTAAGGCATTTGACTGCTAACCAGAAGGTGGATGGTTCAAACCCACCAGCCACTCCATAGAAGGAAGACTGGGCAATCTATTTCTGTAAAGATTTACCGACTTGGAAACCCAAAGGGGGTTGCTATGAGTCAGAATTGACTTGATGGCAGTGAGTTTGATTTTTGGGTTTTTTTTGGCACATTAAAAAAATTGTATAAACATACTGCTATTGTCATCCTCTTCTTTCTCCTGTGACCTTTCTGGGAATCTAGGAGCTGGCTACCTCTTTCAAGGCACCTGCCTGTGCTCAGGGGCTAGGCGTCAGCTCCAGGGCTGATGCCTGTGTGATGTGGCATCCCTCCTGCTTCCTCAGAGCACAGGCCCTTCCTCAGGGATCTCATTTGGGTGTGGACTTCTCCCCACACCATTTTAAGACCTGAGTCCTGGCTTTGTAATCTCCCTGGTGTGTGTCCCCTGCCCCACCCAGGAGATGAAGGTTGCACAGCGGATGGCACAGAAATCAGCAGGTATGCCTGAGCTGTGGGCTCGGTGCCTGCTGGGGCACTGCTACGGCCTGTGGTTCCTGTGTCTGCCTGCTTACGTGCGGGCGGCGCCCTCCCGGGTGCGAGCACTGCACACAGCCTACCATGTGCTGCGCCAGATGGAGAGCCGCAAGGTGGTGCTCCCCGATGAGGTAGGCAGCCATGTGCCTACCCAGCCATGCCCGCTCCATATACCAGTGATGCTTGTACAGTCATGGGGGTTGTGATAGGGAAGCTTGGTGGAGGCCAGGGAGAGCTGTGGAGTTGAGGCAGACGGGGAGCAATGTTGGGCAGATGCTGCATGAACATTCACTCCAAGAATGAGCATGGTCAGGGTACAGTACTGGAGCCCACAGCGTGGCAGGTCAGCAGGAAGAATGGGTGGTTCTGAGTTGCCAGGGGCCTTGCAAGTCTGAGAATGGGAGACTGGGAGAGAGAATCTGCTGAGGTTTGAGGTTTTGGTTGAGGGTGAGTCCCCTCTCATCCTGTGCCTCTCCTGGCCCAGGTGTGTTACCGGGTGCTGATGCAGCTCTGCTCCCACTATGGGCAGCCTGTGCTATCTGTGCGGGTCATGCTGGAGATGCGACGGGCGGGCATCGTGCCTAATACCATTACCTATGGCTACTACAATAAGGTATCAAAATTAGGGTCAAGGTGTGCGATGACAGCTTGCACTAGGGGTGTATATGGGGAGGATGCTGTTCCTTGACACCTGTGGCTCTCCTGGTTCCTTTTTTTTTTTAATTGTGATTTGGGTGAAAGTTTACAGGGAAAATTCATTTTCCATATAGCAGTTCACACACACTTTGTCTCATGGCATTGACTGCAATCTTCCACAATGCAACAAGTTCTCTTCCTACTTCCTCCTCATAGCCATCTCTTCCCTGTGTCCTTCCTTCCCATGCACTCCTGCCCCCCCAAGCTGTCTCCCTGTGCATACACAGTCTCCTGGCTCCTTGGAGACTGGGCCTGTGAAGTTCAAATAGGTGCTGTAACCATTGTCATTGTTGTGCTCTGGCACTATTCTAAACACATTACACTTTTTAAATCATTTTATCCTCACAGCAACCCCATGAGGGGACATGACTATTACCCTCACCTTAGAGATGAAGAGATGAAGTTGCAGAGAGGTTAGTAACTTGTCCAAAGTGCCAGAGTGAGGAAGTTAGGGAGTTAGAACATGAGCACATAGGTCATGGCTCCCAGATTCAGGCTTTTAGCCAGGATACTAAACTGGCATCCCTTTTTTGGATGAGGAAACTAATAAGCAAAAAGGGAAATGATTTCTATAAGCCATATAGCTTGTAAGTAGCAGAATCTGGATACAAATTTTCTCCACCGCTTTTGGCTTCCTCTGGGCCTCTCCAGAGGTATCTTATCTACTGTCACCTGCCCTTGTTCCCAGCTGAGCCACTGGCAGGACAGTCCTAGGCAGGCTGTCTAGAGGGATAGGTGGTCCCTGGGGCCCTGGATAGACCATGGGCATCATGCTGGGGTCAAGGTATGGAAGTAGGCCACCCTGATGGGCACTGTGGTTGGCAGGCTGTGCTGGAAAGCAAGTGGCCATCTGGCACACCAGGTGGGCGCCTGCGTTGGGCCAAGCTCCGGAATGTTGTCCTGGGGGCTGCTCAGTTCCGCCAGCCCTTGAGAGAACGGCGGCAGCAGCAGCAGCAACAGCAGCAGCAGCAGCAGCAGCAGCAGCAGCAGGAGGAGGAGGAAGCAGTGGCAGCACAGGAAGATGCAGGCAGCTCCGGGACAGGTGGGTAGGGACTGTTAAGACAAGGCTTGAGGAAAGAGAAGCCAGGCTCAGGCAGAGAGAGGCATGAGGAGCTGGGGCTGGCCTAGAGGTTGGCATTGGGTGTTCTGGGATCGATAAACTGTACGTGACTAGTAACAAAATGGATTGAGTTCTGCCTAGGAGAACCCCCACAAACCCAACGTTCATGCAAGGAACTCTGTTTTAGAATAGGGGGCTGGGTCCCTAGCTGACTTGTCTTTCAACTCCCCCCCTGGCTTTCACAGATCTCCATCTGGAGTGCCCCTCTCCCACCCGTCCCCTTCAGCGCCAGACTACCTGGGCTGGGCGCAGCCTGCGGGATCCAGCCTCCCCCATGGGGCGCCTGGTGAAGAGCAGCAGCCTGGGCAGTGCCCGTGGGGCACAGCCCACTGTGGAGGCCGGCGTGGCCCGTAGTGAGTGCCCTTGTCTGACGTCCCCCCTTAGTCAGCTGCTTAACCACTTGCCAGTAAGAGGGAAGACCGGAGCTGGGGTGGAGGTGTGGCCCTCTGTGGTGGGCACCGTAGACTCTGTGGACATCTTGCCTGGAATGTTGTCTCGGGGAGGGGGGTTGTGGTACCAGAGTTTGTATAGCCAGGAATTGTGTTTACTTAGGAAAGGGGCAGCTAGAGGAAGGGGTCAGCTGTCTCTTCCCTGATTCTTTTCTGCCCTGCAGTGATTGAGGCCTTGAGGGTCTTGGAACCCCGGGGATCACCTGTGCCCTGGCATGAGGGAAGCCTCTCAGATCTGAGCCTGACAGGGGAGGAACCAGCACCTGGAGGCAGTCCAGGGGCCTTGGGCTCAGCCCAGAATGCCCAATCCACTGAAGCCCTGGAAGGGCTAAGTGGGCGGCTGTCCAAGGCTAGTGGGCATCAGGATGAAGCAGGCACCCCCCGACGAGGACTGGGTGCGCGCCTCCAACAGCTGCTTACTCCTTCACGCCGCTCCCCAGCCTCCCGTGCTCCCCCACCTGAGCTGCCCGTTGACCTGCCTCCCCCAGCCCGCCGTAGCCCTATGGACAGCCTTCTGCGCCCCCGAGAGCGCCCTGGATCTACTGCCTCTGAGGTAACCAGGGAGAGGAGGGCCCAGACACCTTAGCACCAGAAGGCCTGGGGAGGGGCTGCTAACTGAGAGAATGCCCACAGAGAGGGAGCCCTGAGAGGTCATAGAGCAAAAGTATCCTGTGGGGTCGGCTGAACACACTTTCTCATGTAATGGCAGAGTTCAGCATCTTTGGGCAGCGAGTGGGACATCTCAGACTCTTCTTACAGCAGCCTGAGCTTTCGCCGTTCTTCAGAGCGTCTCAGTGACACCCCTGGATCCTTTCACCCACCTTTCTTGGAAGTGAGGATAACCTCCCCCACCACACACAGATGTGTACACACATACACATATACACACACATGTGCACATTCACCCTGTCAAAGGCAGAGGGTATGGAGGAGGCTGGGTTGGGATTTGGAGGTGGGAGGGGCTAGAGAAAAAGCATGGGCTCCAGGGTGCTGGGGGCCAAACAGGGCCTATTGCTTGGGGTCTTCTTGTCTGCAGATTCTGCTGTCTAGCTGCTCCCTGTGCCGTGCCTGTGACTCACTGGTATACGATGAGGAGATCATGGCTGGCTGGGCACCTGATGACTCCAATCTCAACACAACCTGCCCCTTCTGCGCCTGCCCCTTTGTGCCCCTGCTTAGTGTCCAGACCCTTGATTCCCGACCCAGGTGCCCAAGGCAGGGCAAGTGTACTGTGGGTGGGACAGGAAGATGGAGATCTAAGAGCTGACCCCTCCTCCTATCCTACCCCTGCAGTGCCCCCACCCCCAAGCCTGTCCCTGCTGGTGCCAGTGGCAGCAAAGATGCTCCTGTTCCTGGGGGCCCTGGCCCTGTGCTCAGTGACCGCAGGCTCTGTCTTGCCCTAGATGAGCCCCAGCTCTGCAATGGGCACATGGGGGTAAGGGCTGGGCCAAAGGGGCATGGGAAAAGGGGGTGTGGCACCCTCTGGAGGAGACCCAGGGTTACTGGAGAGAGATGGGCATTGAGGACAAGGGTACTCTAGAAGCTGTTAGACATGATGGTTCATTGGGAGTCAACACTCTGGGGGTAGGGCCATACACCCCCTCCACTGTCCTCTTCCTCTTGTGCCTGATAGGTTGCCTCCCGGCGGGTCGAGGGTGGGGCATGGGCATACCTGAGCCCCCTGGTGCTGCGTAAGGAGCTGGAGTCGCTGGTAGAGAACGAGGGCAGTGAGGTCCTGGCATTACCTGAGCTGCCCGCTGCCCACCCCATCATCTTCTGGAACCTTCTGTGGTATTTCCAGCGGCTGCGCCTGCCCAGTATTCTGCCAGGCCTGGTACTGGCCTCCTGTGATGGGCCCCCGCACCCCCAGGTCTGTGCCCTCATGGGATCTCTGCTTCCTGAGTGCTTCCCTCTTTATCCCCCAGCACTTGGTCCTCGTAGTATTCTGTGTCCTTGGCATTGAATACAGAAGGAGCACAGGCTTTGGAGTTTGTTGTACTTAGTTTGAATCCTGGCGCTTTCACTTCACCTCAGTTGCACTCTGAGCCTGTTTTCTCATCTGTAAAATGAGGCTTAAGTGTCCACCTTACAGAACTGCTAGATAGACACCCTGTGTAGTGGCTGGACCTTGTGTAGAGACCTAGAAAATGATTTAATAACATTTGCTTATTTATTCACTCCATCAATATTTATTGAGCACCTTTTATGTTCCAAGTACAGTTTTAGACACTGGAAATGTAGCAGATCACAAAACAAAAGTCCTTGCTCTCAAAGAGCTTACATTCTAAAGTGTGTGTGTATGGGGGGCATTGGTAGTTCTTTTCCTTTTTCTCTTTGGCTGTGTCCTGTAATATTCCTCTGTCTCTTTGAACATCACCTGTCCATTTCCTGTCCTCTGCTTCCCATTACGTGAGTCTAACTTTCTCTTTTGGTCCCAGGTCCCATCTCCTTGGCTACTCCCTGATCCAGCCTCAGTGCAGGTGCGGTTGCTGTGGGATGTCCTGACCCCTGACCCCAAAAGCTGCCCACCTCTCTATGTGCTCTGGAGGGTCCACAGTGAGTCTGAGATTTGACTTAGGGTAAGAGGGGTAGGTCCCACGTCCAGAATGCTCAATGATCCTGGCCCCTTCCTTCCTATTTTTCAGGTCAGATCCCTCAGCGGGTGGTATGGCCAGGCCCAGTACCTCCATCCCTTAGCCTGGCATTGCTAGAGTCAGTGCTGCGCCATGTTGGACTCAATGAGGTACACAAGGCTGTGGGGCTTCTGTTGGACACACTAGGACCACCGCCTACTGGCCTGCACCTACAGAGGTATGCTGCTTTCATCTGGGAGGTCCCTGGCCTGTCCCAGGCTCCACATACCCTTTCTTTCACTCATACCCTTCTGTCTCCACTCCAGGGGTATCTACCGTGAGATCTTATTCCTGACAATGGCTGCTCTGGGCAAGGACCACGTGGACATAGGTGAGGGAATAGTTTAGGGACCAGTGGTCAGGATGGGAGACCGGGGTCCTAATGCATTGGCCTCTACTCTCCTCCCTAGTGGCCTTCGACAAGAAGTACAAGTCTGCCTTTAACAAGCTGGCCAGCAGTATGGGCAAGGAGGAACTGAGGCAGCGGCGGGCACAGATGCCCACGCCCAAGGCCATTGACTGCCGCAAATGTTTTGGAGCACCTCTGGAATGCTAGGGACCCTTAGCTTCCCACTCTAGTCTTAGGGTGGGGTGGGGAAGAAAAGATTCTTCCCTGTTTCCTCTATAGAGGAGTTGGGGTCAGGCTGACAAGCATGCCCAGCCATAGGCTCCAAGTGAGGGTAGCAGGAAGAGGGGATCTACTACTGTTACTAAAAGTCACAGTTCCTTATCTCCAACCTGCCCAATTTCCTTGTGCTGATGTTGGGGGAGGTCTGGAGGTAGTTAAGCACAGCTCTGTTCCTCCCCTGTCCTATACCAGGAACCACCCCTGCTCCCAGGGAACCCACAGATCTGCATTGCCCTGGTCATTTTAGAAGTTTTTGTTTTAAAAAACAACAGGAAAGATAACAGAGCTACTGAGCCTTTGCCCTGAATGGGAGGGAGGGATTCCCCACCAATAGTGGCCCCTCTCCCCTGGCATTGCTGAAGGAGCCCAAGGCTTCCTACCTTAGTATTTGTATTTTATTATAAGTTATTTATTCTGAAGCCTCAGCCTCCTCGCTTATGAGGTTCTCACGGAGGGTGAGAAAGAGAAGGGAAATGGGACACCATGGTCCAGTGGTTTGCAGCCTTGAAAATCAGGTGGTGGGAATTAGAGGGATCCCAACCACCCCTTGGAAAGAAGTGGTGCCCCCCCAGTCCTAACCCTTGTCCACTCCTCATTGGGGGATGCCTCACTCACCCAGGGCCCTGCCTGACCTGTGCAATAAGGATTGTTTATGGCAAAGTTTTGTTGGATGTAAATACAGTAAAAGCTGCTTCTGTCTTTTTCCTGCTGCCTCCTGTTTTGTTGGTCTGGGGTAATGGTGGGGACACCTCTCTTTTTCCCCTGGCTGCACATCCTTCTTTCCATCTTCCATCCTTTGCAGCCTTCAGGCATATCCTGCATTCCCTGACCAGGTCTGGAACTGGCCCTGTGGGGCACAAGGAATTCTCGGAGCAGGAGAGGGGTGAATCCAGCACTGGTTATGATGGTGCAAGTCTGTGTGGCACTTCCGGCCCTCCCATACAATCACCTCCTTGTCCCTCATCGGTACCCACACAAAGGCTCCATTCTCTGGGGACCTTGAGCTCATCTCTGCCTTCTTTCTCCCAGCCCCCCTTTCCAACTTCTCTAGTACCTCCACAGAGATGACAACCCTTTCCCCAGTAGTTGGTGTTAGCAGACCTCATGCATTCCTGGGGCCCTGACAGTTGCCCCCTGCCTCAGTTATTTTAGCTGCAGGCAGTCCTGTTCCAACCAGTTGGGGGACAGCAACAGGGAAATGGGGCCAAAGATTAAGGGGCTTGCTCCATCTGGACATCAGAGAGATGGGCATTATTTTCCTAATTCCTTTGGCCAACTCAAATTTCTCCTTCCTCTCTCTTGTATAATGAAATAAACACAGGAAACAACTCTGAACACAGCTGAAAAGCCAATTACCAAAGGGAATTAGTCAACAAAACAGAAGTGCCTTGGGAAAAGAGGGCAGGAGTGTCAATAGAGGGAATAACTTACAAGAGCCTTAAGTGCCAAATTCTGGGGGTGGGTGTCAGTGGAGGAAGAGAGAGGCTCCACTTCTGAAAACTGGATCTTCAAGCCAAAGGACCCTTGCCCAGCCATTGTTGAGCAAGGTAGGATGCTTGTCCATGATCCTAAAGAAACTGTGGAGGAGGAAGGCAGGGGCTTAGGACATGGCATCTGTCTTGCCAGGGATCAGGAGATGCTCTCCTCAGAGGGGAACCTTCATGTCATCCAGGTTCTGATCAGACCCCATGCCTGAGAATCAACCTCTCTCTGTATTACACTTTTTGAATGACTTTTTTTAAAAAATTTTTATTGTGATTTGCGTGAAAGTTTACACAGCAAATTCATTTTCCATATAGTAGTTCACACATACTTTGTCTCATGACATTGACTGCAATTTCCCACAATGCAACAGCTTTCTTCCCACTTCCTCTTCTGTGTCCTCCTTTCCTATGCATTTCTGCCTCCTGAGCTATCTCCCTGTGCAAATACTGCCCCTCAATTTTCCCAATTGTTCGAAGGAGTATATCTATCTAATGTAAATGTTCACCCCATATGCCTGTCTGTTGTTTGGCTGGAAGCCAGGGAGTGAGTTCAATTCCAGACCTGAGGGGTAACTAGGGGCCATAGTCTTGGGGGTCTCACCAGGCTTTATCAGGCCAGTAAACCTGGACTTTTTTTTTTTTATGATTTGGAGTTTTGTTCCACATTGGTCTCCTACTCTATCCAGGATCTCCTGCACTGATCCCTTTCCAAGTGTGACAGTGGTAGCCAGGTACCATTTTGTTATTCTAGTCTCATGGTCATATAGGCTGAGGTTCACATGTTCTACTAGTCCCCTGGACTAATTGTTTCCATGTATCTTTGGCTTTCTTCATTCTTCTTTACTCTGGATGAGAAGAGACCCATTGTTGCATCTACACAGCCTCTTGCAAGCTTTTAAGACCCCAGTCACTACTCACCAAAGTAGGATGTAGAAAAATGTTTTTTGAATATGTTATGCCAATTGAGCTTGATGTGCCCTGTGATCACGGTCCTGAACCCACAGGTCTAGCTACTCACTCCCTCAGGGTGGTTGGCTGTGGCTAAGAAGTTATCATAACTTTGCTCATTGTTAGCTCTATTATATATATGTTGTTGTTGTTAGGTGCTGTTGAGTTGTCTCCGACTCATAGCGACCTTATGTACAACAGGATGAAACACTGCCCGGTCCTGTGCCAGCCCCATGATCCTTGCTATACCTGAGCCCATCACTGCAGCCACTGTGTCAATCTACCTTGTTTAGGGCCTTCCCCTTTTTCGTCAACCCTCCACTTTACTAAGCATGATATCCTTCTCCAGAGAATGGTCCTGACAATACAACCAAAGTAGGTGAGACGAAGTCCAGCCACATTATGTACTACATATACATAATACATATATATCTAATTCTACATATGTAGAAATATAATCTACCAGACTTATATACGGTCGTGGGTATATCCCCTTTTACCTATACATACCTGATCATTCAGCCTGTCTACCCACCTATTTACCCATAGACTAATGTTTGTTATCACTGATAACGCAGTATTGTGTATGTAAAAGGGTTTATTTTTATTGTTTGTACCTTTGAAGGACCTTTTGGAAGGGAGCACCTGCACTCCTAAAATCCTAAGTTTCTGTTGCATTCTTTGTGCCCAACGCTGTACTGAAACATCTATAACTACAGAGAGGGAAGTTTAAGGTTCAGACCCTACCTGAATAAAGGATACAATCTTACTGGTCTAACACTAGCCCCTGGCTCAAAATAATAATGATCCTCACCCTGCCTCCCAGCTTACACTTCTCATTTTTGGCTGTCCTTCTGGAGCCTGTGTCAGGTGAGTAGAGCTAGACTTCTTTAACCATGATAAAACCAAAAACCATATTGCCGCTGAGTTGATTCTTATTCATAACCATCCCATAGGATAGAGCAGAAATACCCTGTAGGGTTTCCAAGGCTGTAATTTTTACAGAAGCTGAGTGCTACATCTTTGTCCCATGGAGCAGCTGGCAGGTTCCAATCACCGACCTTTCAGTTAGCAGCCGATTGCTTATTCACTGCACCACTAGGGCTCCTTTAACCATAATGAATGCATTGCCTTCCAGTGGATGGTGCAGTGGTTGAAGGATTCAGCTGCTAACCAAAAGGTTAGCAGTTCAAACCCACCAGCTGCTCTCCCGGAAAAACATGAAGTGGTCTGTTTCTGTAAATATTTACAGACTTGGAAACTCTCTGGGGGCAGTTCTACTCTGTCCTGTAGGGTTGCTAAGAATCACTAAGAGTTAACCATGATAGTATCTGGAAATACCCAAGAGCATCTCTCTGTCTTGTGGCCTGTGGCCTACGGAGGTGTATGAGGGGAAGGATATGCCCAAATCATTTGATTCAGTTTCTCTTCCCACTCTTCAGAGTGTATAGGCTTGAGTCTGACCAGTTTGAGTCAAATCTTGTCTCTATCACTAATTTCTTATGTCAGACAAGTTCCTTAACTGCTATGCCTCAGTTTTTTCTCATCTGCAAACTGGGGGTCCTTTAAAGTTTAAATTACATAATCCATATGAAGTGCTCAATAAATGATAGCTTCAAAAAGAAAACAAAGTCTGCATAAGACAAAGATCATGTCCACAATAATAGTGGCCCAGTTGTTTGTTCTTCTTTAGAGCCTAATTACGCCATATCCTCCATGGCCTAATTTTCATTTTGTTGAAAGAGGCATTTGCTTAGGTCTCACTGACATTTTCCTCAGGTTGGTACCTTTCATCACTGTGTTTCTCATGTCTCCTAGCAGGCATAGAAAGATAGTTTTCAGACCACAGAAAACTCAATGAACAGATAATGGGCAAAGTAATAGGTTAGGGAAAGAGGAATGGACCCTTTATGAAGGCAATGATTTTGCCTCATTCACTGTTGTATCCCCAGCACACTGAATAGTGCCTGATACCATAATAGGTGCTCTATAATGTGTATTCTATCAAGGAAAGGAGTTAGTGAGAGTATTAAATGTTGGTGTTAGTAGAGAAATAAATTTCAGTACAGAATAAGACAGTTACCATGGACAGGATACCAAAAGAAGCTAGAGTTGGAGCTGTTGCAGTTGTTGTTAGGTGCCATTGAGTCATCTTTGACTCATAGTGACCCTATGCACAGCAGAATGAAACACCACCTAGTCCCGTGCCAGCTCCGTGATCCCTGTTATACTTGAACCCATCGCTGCAGCCACTGTGTCAATTCATCTTGTTGAGGCCTTCCCCTCTTTTGTCGACCCTCTACCTTACCAAGCATGACATTCTTCTCCAGGGAATGGTCCCCTCTGATAACATGACCAAAGTAGGTGAGCCGAAGTCTGGCAATTCTCGCTTCCGAGGAGCATTCTGGCTGCACTTCCTCCAGGGCAGATCTGTTAGTTCTTTTAGCAGACCATAGTACTTTCAGCATTCTTCACCAGCACCACAACTCAAAAGCATCAATTCTTCTTCGGTCTTCCTTATTCACTGTCCAGCTCTCACATGCATATGAGGTGACTGAAAATATCATGGCTAGTGTCAGGCACACCTTAGTCCTCAAGGAGACATCTTTGCTTCTCAGCATTTGAAAGAGGTCTTTTGCAGCTGACTTGCCCAGTGCTATACGTTGTCTGATGTCCTGACTGTTGCTTCCATTGGTGTCGACTGTAGAACCAAGCAATGTGAAGTCTTTGACAACCTCAATCTTTTCTCCATTTATTGTGATGCTGCTTATACGTCCAATTGTGAAGATTTTTGTTTTCTTTATATTGAGATGCAATCCATACTGCAGACTGTATTCTTGAATCTTCATCAGTAAGTGCTTCAAGTCATCCTCACTTTCAGCAAGCAAAGTTGTGTCGTCAGCGTATCGCAGGTTGTTAATGATTCTCCCTCCAATCTTGATGCCACATTCTTCTTCATATAGTCCAGCTTCTTGGATTATTTGTTCAGCATACAGATTGAATAAGCATGGTGAAAGGATGCAACCCTAACGCACTCCCTTCTTGACTCTAAACCATGCAGGTTTCCCTTGTTGTTTGAACGACAGCTTACTGGTCTCTGTACAGATTCCTCATGAGTACAATTAAGTGTTCTGGAATTCCCATTCTTCTCACTGTTATCCATAATTTGCTATGATCCATACAATCAAATGCTTTTGCATAGTTAATAAAACACAAGTAAACATCTTTCTGGAATTCTTTACTTTGAGCCAAGATCCATCTGACATCAGCAAT